GACACTCTTGTGGGACACTCTTGTGGGACACTCTTGTGGGACACTCTCGTAGGAAACTCTTGTGGGACACTCTTGTGGGACACTCTTGTGGGACACTCTTGTAGGAAACTCTTGTGGGACACTCTTGTGGGACACTCCTGTAGGACACTCTTGTGGGATACTCTTGTGGGACACTCTTGTGGGACACACTCTTGTGGGACACTGTTGCGGGACACTCTTGTGGGACACTCTTAAGGGACACTCTTGTGAGACACTCTTGCGGAAACACCCATCGGAGCACACACATCACGCAGCCCTGCCAAGCAGTTTCGCGATTCCAGCCCCTCCAAACGACACCCGCTCACACGCCAATCCCAATGCGACAGCGACATTCACCTCTACCACAACTCACAACCTCCCGATTCCCTGCGCCTGCCACGAATCTTTCCGCGTCCACACGTCTAACGCGCACAAAGTACTGCGCCTGCCATGAAATGTCACCTCCGTCACACATCGCAACCTCACGATTCCCTGCGCCTGCCACGAAAATCACACTTCCACACCTCAAAACCCGCACAAAGTCCTGCGCCTGCCACGAAAAGTAACAATGTCATCTCATGTGAGCTTCAACAAAATTTGCACCACACGACACGTTTGGAATGATTTCGACCCGTTCTGAGCACACTCCCATCCACCAAAATCGGCATTTCAGCTGAGACTTGTCACGAAAACAGAGCTTCGATGCCACACCCTGAAACGCAAATCCCAATGGCACGGCCACATCCAACACCCCAAAAACACGACTCTCCAAACGCTAACCCCAATGGAACTGCGCAGCAATCTGCAGATCTCACCAAACGCTGCGCCTGTGCAGCGAAACGCATCACGTTGCTTGCGCGACATGTCTTTTTCATGCAAATCACAATGGAATAGCGGCGCAAACTGACACGTGACACATCCATGAATAGTCACTTGCAAAAGCTTCCCCCAATGGCAGCGCCTTAGCGCTCTACCGCGGACGGTTGCGAACGGTTGCGGACGGTTGCGAACATAGAAACAACGGGTCGCGAACAAGGCTCCACCCCCAGACCCCCAAGAGCTAAACGAGAACCCTTCGCTACGCATTCGGGAAAAACCATTTGTTCAAGTGTATTTTTGCAAATTATGCCCACCCGCCATCATCAGCGCATGATAATGCATGGTTCTGACCCGAAGCCACATGGTTGTGGGCCAACGTTGGTCGACACACACTCCATGCTGGGGCCCCATACTTCGTGGTGACCCGTGCAATATGTAGCTTGTCAATGGATGTTCATCTCCACAGGTAGTCCACTCATGTCCATTCAGTTGATTTCGATCGAGTGCTACCGTGCTACCGCTACAATCCGCTACATATGGTCGCAAGTATTTCTCCACATCTGGCTCTAGCAGTCTAAATGTTGAAGGTTTCATAAATGCAACACAGTGTGCTACATTACTTTACTTTACATTACATTACATACCATTACATGGCATTACATGACGCAACTCACCTCGCACGTAGCAATAGTACATTGAACAAAATCTTTAAACAAAAGGCATTCATCTATATATATATATGGTTATATGTGTATATATACCTGAGAAGGGAGGGGGCGAAAGCCAACCTCTGGCTTAGGGGGTGCTCTCAGGGTAGGCCCGGGCAAAGACTTGGCGTGCAATAGGAAGTGATGGGGTAACATCGGGCAAAGAGTCATGTCATGGGGCGAAGTTGACTTCGCAGCCACACTGATAGGGGGTAGAAATGGAAAGTAGAAGACATAGGTCTGGGGGGGGTTGCCCTTTTTCGCCCGGTTCCGGGAGGACTTGGGGGTGAAAAAGGGCACCCCTTCAGGAAGTGAGGCGTGCTTGCCAGCGGCATGTTGCGAATCAGTGGAGAAACGGCGGTGGGGGTTCATGTGCGAGGCAATCGGTAGGGTAGGTGAGGATATAGACATATATATATGTGTGTGTGTCACCCCCTGTATCTAAGGGTTCCACCTTTGTAACTAAGAGTTTTGAATGCAGGGGGCCATCCCCCTCCCCAGTGGCGGAT